GCCGGAGCGTACAACAGCCGAAACTCATCTCAGAAATATAGACAGATACGGAAAGGCCGAAACGTTCTAATTAATATGGTGACAAAGATGAGGACAATAGTCCGAATAATGTAAATAATGTACACAAAACCTCATCTCAGAAATATAGACAGATACTAGAAGGTCGAAACGTTGTAATAAATATGGCGACAAAGATGAGGACAATAGTCCGAATAATGTAAATAGTGTACATAATACCTCATCACAGAAATATAGACAGATACGGAAAGGCCGAAACGTTGTAATAAATATGGCGACAAAGATGAGGACAATAGTCCGAATAATGTAAATAGTGTACACAATACCTCATCTCAGAAATATAGACAGAAACTAAAAGGCCAAAACGTTGTTATAAATATGGCGACAAAGATGAGGACAATAGTCCGAATAATGTAAATAGTGTACATAATACCTGATCTTAGAAATATAGACAGATACTGAAAGGCCGAAACGTTGTAATGAATATGGTGACAAAGATGAGGACAATAGTCCGAATAATGTAAATAGTGTACATAATACCTCATCTCAGAAATATAGACAGATACTGAAAGGCCGAAACGTTGTAATGAATATGGCGACAAAGATGAGGACAATAGTCCTAATAATGTAAATAATGTACTTCAATCCTGATTGTAACTGTTAATATAAGCGTTTGACCGGAAATTCTCAATGTCCGGTTTTGGTGTCACTTCTTCCCGTGAGTTTTCATTTATTTATGTATTATTTTATTCTCTTTTGGTCAAATGGTTAGCCGTCACGAAGGTCCCATTTCATAGATTTATCGCTGGTTGTAAAAGACGAAACACTTTAGATCAGCCCCTTCTATGTTGGTTCCTCAATGATAGCCATACAATGTTACGTTATTATGAGGTGTAACCAAACAACATAGAAATGAGACGAAATTAATGAAAATACTTAAGAAATTCTGACAACTTAAGACAATTACAATTATGATTTACGATTAAACAATAATTATTTCTTACCAGTCTGATCATCTCGGAAGTTTCTCTCTGATGAGTAAGTGAGAGTAGTTTCGTTTTGGATGCATTGCAATTCTCGAGACATTTTACTATAAAAATGTCCTGTTGATCTTAGCTTGATTTGAGCATAGCTGGAACCCTAACAGGTGCTACCACTCCGCCTTGATCAGGGATGACCAACGAATCCCGTTAGCACAAGTGGCGGTAGTCGTACGCATCAACTTATTTATCCGCGTAAGCATGATGACTTGGGGTGCCGTAATGTTTGTGCGCGTTGGGTGCCTAAAAAAGCAGATGGTGCAGACGTAACTTCGGGAGCCACTGAAAAGCTTTTTTTTGTCGGGAGCGACGTAGAAGTTGGTTGAACGATACTATAAGTGCATCGGCGTACGTGGGGTCTGCATCAAAAGGTGTCATAAGCATTTATTCTTTATCAGGGAAATTGTGTTGAAATTACGTTTGGTTTTTTTTTTTGGTTTTTTTTGGTGACAATTAATTTCAACTCGAAACCTCAAAAGGATAATTTGCCGTTTAAGGACCGCGTTCAGTTTCTAATAAAAATTCCCGAATAGTTGCATTTAGGTGTAAATGTACATGCTTAATTCGAAAATAACAAAGAAATTTTGATAAAATCTACCATTCTGGGGTTATCGACAATAAAAGTTCGGGCTCATTCGCGTCGCGATGGTTGACGTTGAAATTAAGTCTGCATACTGTTTTTTTTAATAAATTTGCACTCGTAAATACAAGTATCCCTCAATTAATGCGCGTTCGATTAATGCGTTTTCGATTAGTGCGCTAAAGTTTTTATATACCAAAAATTCGATTAGCACTAAACTCGATTAGTGCGATAAAACGTTCTTAGGTTTCACCGAAATAATTGAAGATTGAATTCATCTAAGTAATTACAGTAGGTTGGAAATGATATGGTAATCTTTATAAGATCAACAAAACACAATAATTGCCAGCGGCGTGATGTATGTAAACCACTGCTAATGGTGAAATACTTAGACAGCATATTATCCCCACCCCCATACACACCATTACAATAGTATCCAACGTATTTATGAGGGTTGGGATATACCCATTAGTGTTCATAGGTACGGTTTATAACAAAAGACAATCACATCTTAAAAAAGCATATTTTGGCAAAAAATGTTCTTGTAAACATGTATTAAAGTCTATTCTTGAATAAATATAAAAACTGTTTTAACCTAAAAAGGGTTAATGAATGAAGAATAACCAAAAACCGGCTCATATTACCATTACAATTAGAGATGATGAGAACAGATACTACACTTTGATCCCAGCCCAATGGTCAGGTAGTGAAGAAAAGCGTAACTCTAGTAGCACTGGCTGTTCGGTCAATGAATGCCGAATGTTTCCTTATAAGGAAATGGCTGATATTACCATTACAATTAGAGATGATGAGAACAGATGCTACACTTTGATCCTAGCACGTTGGTCAGAGAGTGAAGAAAAGCGTAACTCTAGTAGCACCGGCTGCTCGGTCAATGAATGCCGAATGTTTCCTTATAAGGAAATGGCTAATATTGCCATTAAAATTAGAGATGAGGAGAACAGATACTACACTTTGATCCCAGCCCGATATTCAGGGAGTGAAGAAAAGCGTAAATCTAGTAGCACTGGCTGCTCGGTCAATGAATGCCGAATGTTTCCTTATAAAGAAACGGCTTATATTACCATTAGGAGTGAAGAAAAGCAATTAGAGATGATGAGAAATAGATCCTTACACTTTGATCCCAGCCCAATGGTCAGGTAGTGAAGAAAAGCGTAACTCTAGTAGCACTGGCTGTTCGGTCAATGAATGCCGAATGTTTCCTTATAAGGAAATGGCTGATATTACCATTACAGATTTTGACATTTTAACATTCAGTCAGTTATGCGACTATGTATCTTTCGATACTGACGAGGCAGATTTTTTCCCGCAGTAGGTTGCCATTTCTTTCTACAGTAGACCAGTTGCTATCCAAGGCTATAGAACCCGGTATGTCCTACTATTTACCCATTGCTGGAGGGAGGGAGAAGGAGAGGGTTCATACCTTTCTCATTTTCACGCAAGTGAATGTAATGAATTCAACTGAAATTCGAACTCGGATCTCCGATTCCTCAATCCGAGCCGCTATCCATTACTCCGCCTTTAACATTACAATTAACATTAATCGTAAATGTTTGCATTTCACTCTACTTTGAACAAAAGGTTAGGAAGGAAACCCCCGTCAATACTGGAAAGAGCGATAACAGCTACTCAACTCGAGAAACCTATTTTCCTAAAAAAATATTTTAAGAGAATTATTTTAAAGATTTCAAGCGACGGTGGCACTGGCTGCTCGGTCAAAGAATTCCGATTGTTTCCTTATAAAGAAACGGTTAATATTACATCAGCATACTGGATGAACTATTTTATATTTGGTTTGTTTTATGGCATATCAACCTTAATGGGTCATTTTAATGCCGACAAGATTTTTATTGCTGCTAATATTTTTTTTCAAAAAGTATTTCTGGTAATATTTTTTTTCCAAAAAAACGTAATGCTGGTAATAATGTATTGCTGGTAATAATTTTTTCTTCAAAAATTTATTGTTGGTAATATTTTTTTACCAAAATGTATTGCTGGTATTAAACCTATTTTTACACGTATTGACCCCAGTTTGTGTGTTAACTATTTGCCCATAGCTGGGATCCTAACGGGTCAGGGTGAAGCTGGAAACATCTGGAATTAAGATCTGGTTCCACGCTCCTCAAAATTTCCCGCTCAGAGGCCTTGCTGCCGGATGTAGTTTATCGTCTTACCCAGGACGACCAGTTCTCAGTATTCGGCTCTTCTACAAGATCTGCTACCAATCCGCATCACAGTGGACCTGGGAACACCTGCAATTAAGAGGTGGTTCCACGCTCCTCAAAACCTCCCGATCAGAGACCTAGCTGCCGGATGTAGTTTATCGTCTTACCCAGGACGACCAGTTCTCAGTATTCGGCTGTTTTACAACAGGTGCTACCACCCCGCGTCACGGTGGACCTGAGAACACCTGCAATTAAGCGGTGGCTCCACGCTCCTCAAAACCTCCCGACCAGAGACCTAGCTGTCGGATGTAGTTTATCGTCTTACCCAGGACGCGACTATGATATGCGTAATTTCTTTGTTGCTTCTGATCGGATGATTAAGCAAACAAGACTTTCGCCTCCACAGTTTTCTCTTTCTTGATGCAAGAAATGATTCGTTTTTTTGCGTCAACGTTGCCTTCATTACCAGTCAAACCAGTGACAAAAAAAAGTCAACGTATTTGCCTTTTGTTGCTATATTTAAAGCAAAAAGAAAAATCAAAAAAACAAAAAACAAAAAAAACAAACTTACTGTTCAGATGATTCCGAAGCCCAAAGATCGATTTGCTAGCGAACACGGGATCGATTTGTACAAATGCGTGAAGAGCGATAAATTAAAAGCCAGAGATAATAACGAATACATCTGTTATCTTTTTTCTTTTTTTTTTTATTACGAGAACGGGTCATCACGTCCATGATTCATTTATTGTTCTCTTCTATAAAAGATAGGAAACTATGTTTTTCTTTCTTTCTTTGCTTTGAGGAAGTGTTGAAACGTGTCCACAAACACTATTATCCTTTAGATAGTCCTTGTGACCCGAAGCAATGCGCAATTTCCACGCTCGTTTCGACGAGGAGCAATAGTTAACTATATATTAACTATCTTATTATAATTCTGTTTGCTCCTTTCTAAGTAAGCCCGAGCATTACACCCTGTCAATACCTCATAAATAATGGACTATTCCATTCTGATCGCGTGGAAAGACGGAAAAGACATATCAGAGATTCTACTTGGTTACAGTGATAAAATGAAAGGAAAAAAGAAAGATAGAACGTCTCCTAGCAATATCTCATGAATAACGGACTATTCCGTTTTGATAGCGTGGAAAGACGAAAAAGATATATCAGAGACTTTACTTGAAAGAAAGAAAGAAGGAACGAAGGAAGGAAAGAAGGGAGGAAGGAAGGAAAGAAGAAAATAGAGAAGGTAGAAAGGAAAGAAAGAAAGAAAGAAAGAAAGAAAGAAAGAACGTTTCCTCGCAGTATCTCATGAATAATGGACTATTCCGTTTTGATAGCGTGAAAAGACGGAAAAGACATATGAGAAACTTTATTTGGTTACAGTGATAAAAAGAAAGAAAGAAGGGAGGAAAAAAGAAGGAAGGAAGGAGAGAAGGAAGGAAGAAAAGAAGGAAGAAAAGAAAGAAAGAAGAAAGAAGGAAAGAAAGAAAGAAAGAAAGAAAGAAAGAACGTTTTAAAAAAAAGTATCTCATGAATAATGGACTATTCCGTTTTGATAGCGTGAAAAGACGGAAAAGACATATGAGAAACTTTATTTGGTTACAGTGATAAAAAGAAAGAAAGAAGGGAGGAAAAAAAAAGGAAGGAAGGAGAGAAGGAAGGAAGAAAAGAAGGAAGAAAAGAAAGAAAGAAAGAAAGAAAGAAGGAAGGAAAGAAAGAAAGAAAGAAAGAAAGAAAGAAAAAGAACGTTTCCTGTGATGTATCTCATATATAATGGACTATTCCGTTTTGATAGCGTGAAAAGACGGAAAAATACATATGAGAAACTTTATTTGGTTACAGTGATAAAAAAAAAGAAAGAAGGAAAGAAAAGAAAGAAGGAAGGAAGGAAAAAGAAGGAAGGAAGAAAAGAAGGAAGAAAATTTGAAAGAAAGAAAAACAAAAAACCTTTTCAAAAAACAAAGAAAGAAAGAAAGAATGTATAAATTTGCAATATCTCAAATGAATAATGAACTATTCCGTTCTGAAAAAAAAATAAAAAAAATAAAAATAACGTATCAGAGACGCTACTTGGTTTCAGTAATAATTTGAAAGAAAGAATGAATGATGGAAGTGTTTAACGACTGTTTCAGTGAAAAAGAAAAAGTCAATGTCAAATCTTTTTATTTGTACCCTCTTACTTCTTAAAATAACGACTGACATTTATATTTACATTGGTTTTCTATCCGCAGATGCAGTTCGAGATCGAAAGGGGCACCCAGTGAGAATCGAACTCGCTACTCAGTTTTAATGGTTCTAGCATTACACTACGTCGTGATTTCCTAAGTGTTACGTAAATGTGTCAGAAGGCCGAAAGTATGGGGCACCCAAATACAAATCGAACTGGCTTCGGTCAGTTTTAATGGTTCTAGCATTACAAACGTCGATAATTCCTTAACTGTTTTCGTAAAATGTGTCAGAAGGCCGAAAAATATGGGGGTTCTTCAAAATTGATTGACTGCTTTCAGTTTTAATGGTTCTAGCATTACACTACGTCGTGATTTCCTAATTTAAAATATTAGAAGGCCGAAAAATATGGGCACCCAGTGAGGATCGAACTCGCTACTTAGTTTTAACGGTTCTAGCTTGTTAACCATTACACTACGTCGTGATTTCCTAAGCGTTGCGTAAATATGTCAGAAGGCCGAAAGTATGGGGCACCCAGTGAGGATCGAACTCAGTTGCAATTGATTCAACGAGACTCCTCTGCTAACCATTACACAATGTCGAATTGTCCAAGAATTCATATTTATAATTGTTACGGCAATGTTTTGGCACGACATTGAAAATGTTATATATACTTGGAGTCAATATTTTAATAGGGATATATATATATATATATATATATATATATATATATATATGTGTGTGTGTGTGTGTGTGTGTGTGTGTGTGTGTGTGTGTGTGTGTGTGTGTGTGTGTGTGTGTTTATATATAAATATATATATATATATATATATTGTATTTATTTATTATTTAAGGAACTTATTAGAAAAATGCTTTATATCATAGAGCTAAAATCCCCCACCCCCATAATAAAGCCAATACACGCAATCTACATAAACCCAAATTTAAAAAAAAAATTAATCAATCTGTCTGACGATTTTTAAAAAATCGTGAAACCCATTTCAAAACTCACATCAATTTTCTAAAATATATATATATATATATATATATATATATATATATACGCTCATTGAAATTCAATTCATCTTTAATCTTTTCAAGTCGTGTGAAGATGGCTTGAGCATTAAAGACCGCAATTAAATACAGAATAGCCATACATTCATAATATTTAACGTTGTTAATAATTTTTTGTTCTGTCTCGGTAGTCTAGGCTTCGAGCACTTTACTAACTTTGTGTGTTTGCCTTTTTTCTTTTTTCAGTATTGTCGCTTTGTAAGAAATTAAAATTAGTATAAGGGTTTTAGGTTTTGGCAAGTTGTCCGTTGGTTCCATCAACAGTCACATCAAAGGATGGTTCCCATTAGGGTCACAGGTTCGATTTCTGTTGGGGGCGCACATATTTTCTACGAAATTTCTCGAACATTCAAGCCGGTAAATACTGTTTAATTAAAAAAAAGGAAAAAGAAAAAAAGAGCATTTACTTAAATAAATTATATCTATAAAAAATAAAAATAAGCAGAAAATATATTAAATAATTGTCGGACTTAATTCATTTCATAATGTATATATATATTCTATTTACTTCTATTAAATGAAATATAGTCTATAAAAACTACTAACGGAAATATTTTAAAATTGTAATACATTAAAATGAATTCTAACCTAAACTTCTTTTAAACTGTAATTAAATAAATAAATAAAGTTTACTAAATCAGGTAAATGAAAATTTTACTTTTAGTAATATTTAAATATAAAATTTTAAAAAATCGTAATATACTTGATGTGACAATAATTCTACAAACTGTAAAGGCAATCTAACTAGATTTAAATTGTTCTTGAAAGAATTATAGTATAATAAAATTAAAAGTAAAAATATTTCAAATCGTAGTTAAATAAAAAAGTATTCTTACCTAAATACCAATTTTGAAAAAATCTTTTTAATATATAATAAGAAAAAAAATGTCGTAAGAATTTTTTTGTTTAACAATATAAATTTAAAAAAAAAATATCCAGACGACACGCTTTTAAACTATGTTAGATTTCATTGAAAATAAAAAATCCCTACCCACTATCAAAAAAAGCAATAACTGATACATTAAAATATAGACATATTGAACACCTAGACAAATTTGTCTAGAAAAATAGATTTATCTGTAACCTTGAGGTTTTATGAATTTTGTTTTTAGCTGTGTATTTAAAAACCAAATAATTTTAAAAGTTACTCCAAAATTCTCTTGAGGATGAAATGGAATCTAATGTCTTTAATTTAATTGCAAAAATTAAATTCTTGGGCTGTTTAAAAATCAAATTTTCAAACATTGTTAGAACTTGGTGTAGATCTTTAAAAACATATTTTAAATAAATCAGTGGTTTTATAATATATATATATATATATATATGGACCCTAGGGGTCCATTTAATATTTACATACACACACAGGCAAAACTCAATTGTTGTGTTAATTAAAAATAGTAATAATAATTATTATTAAATTATTTAATTTGTATTTTATTTGTATTAAATTAGTTTCATTTTGAAAATAAAACTTAATCGTATACTATTTCTTTGATAATTAAAACCTTAAAATTTATATTACGTGAAGAATAGAAAATTGTTCTTGATGTTGATAGCTCCCCAGGGGTCCACCAAGATAAAAAAACGTTTAAAGGGGTCCATGGGTATTGGTAAAAATGAGAACCAAAAAGACCGTAAATCAATTAATTTAAAATATTAATGCTCTTAAATTTACATCGAGCACTATTTTGTAAAATAAAAATTTCTATAAGAACACCGGATTATATATTTTTACTGTTCTTTTTTTTTTATATATATATATATATATATATATATATATATATAAATATATATAAGAGACAGAGATAGAGAAAAAAAAGAGGAGAGAGACATGGAAACGGTATAAGAGGCAGGCAGTATAATGATTGATGTATACATGGGAAAATAAGGTCAGACTCAAATAAACAGATGGCCAAAATGAGATAGATATCTGTAGAAAGGTAAATAGATAGATAGTTAATAGAATCTATAGTGAATACGATCCGCTAATGGAATGATTAAAATCGCTTCATTCATGCGAATAATACGGGGCGTTCGTCTTTATTCGTGAGAGATCATCACCTTGTGCCGTGCGGGATCGGCCTGTTTGGCGAGCGGCGCCATTGCACGCATTTTATCTTTACTTAAATAAGGCGCCCATGTCTTTTGGAGACGATCACGCTCAAAAGGAAAATTAAGACAGGACTAACCAAACAATGAAGTCATTTCGGCTTTACATTAAATTGAATTCTAATGACTCTCATATTTTCAATGTTTCAAACAAAAACTGCCAAAAATATATACACACGCAATGTATATAATTTTTATACATTTAGGTCCACGAGTTAAACGACTATGACCATCGCCGACAAGTTTGATCAATGTTTATAGTAATCATGAGAACAACAATGGCTCTTGAAGACAATTAACTTAAAATCTTTTGAAATTTTACTAAAACTGTCTTTTTCATTATTTATAAAATGTATCTATAAAAAAGATTATTTTTTTATCCGGAATCCCTCATATCCGAATTGTCATATTTTCGGAGTGTTGTTATATCTCGGAATTGCCTAAAAATCCGAATCCATCAACTTCATTGCCGATATCCGGAGTCCTCTTCCGGTTATAATTTTTTCGTTTTTATTTGAACTATTTAGTTGATATGTAAATTTTTGAAATTTCTGTTTTTGTCTTCATTTATTTTTGATAATTGCTTATCCTTATTTTCCTAAAATTTTTAATGGCGCAAGAGATTACTGGGAATAAGAGGAAAGGATGATACAACGAGATTTTCATCCATAACAAGATTTGGTCCTAAGATGCATTCCTGGGATGAAACCTTTTGAAATTGAAAATGAATCAAAAAGTTTGTCCGTTTTATGGAAAGAAAGCCAGCATACATTTTATGACGATTGCAATAATGCACGAAAAGTTTTTATCATTTCGTTTCCGGAAATTCAAATCCGGAATCCTCATATCAGAATCCCGCATTCAATCATATCCTGAATCCTCATATCCGGACATTCCTGAAATATATTTGAAACTATTTGGGTGATATTTTTTATGATTTGAAATTTTATGTTTTCCAGGAAATTTACTTTGGATAATAAGAAATTTCATCCTAATGGCTTGTATTGGCGCAAAAGAGTAATTTTTAATATGAAAAAACTTTGGATCTATCGCAAAAATGGAAATTTTAAACAGACTAGACGCTGGTGAAAATTCATTGTAACTAATGAATTTTAGTTCAATATGGGAAAGTCAACATTGTATGATACAAAATCTTCCAAAGAAACTATTCTCCAACGTTCACACTGTCACAATGAACAAGAAAAAAAAAAGTTTTTTGATAAAACCTGAAATGAAACTGAAAAATCCGAAAAGGTTGTCATTTTTTGGAAAGAAAGCCAGCATTCAGCTATGACGATTGCAATAACGCACGCAGAGTTAAAAAAGTTTGAAACTTAAATTTAAAAAAAATATCCAGAACAAAAGCAAAACGAAATGCGAAAAAGTTGAGAATGACATTAGAAGAAAAAAAATCATCATGCAACAGCGATTAAAAAAAAATCGTTACATTATTTGTTTTTCATACGTGGCATACTTAATTTAATGCATTTTTATTAACATTATATAATTTATTTCTTTTTCCTTAAAATCAACTCCGTTACATTTCACTCACCATTAACTTATTTTGTTTACTATAAAACATTGAAAATAAATGTTAA